CAGAAAATGTACAAATTTCTACTACTACTACTACTACCACTACTACTACTGCTACTACTACTACTACTACTGCTACTACTACTACTACTACTACTACTACTACTACTACTGCTACTACTACTACTACTACTACTACTACTACTACTACTACTACTACTACTACTACTGCTACTACTACTACTACTACTACTACTACTACTACTACTACTACTACTACTACTACTGCTACTACTACTACTTCTCGCCCCGATGTTGAGGATAAATACACGCGCCGGTAAGGTGATCGTCGTCTGACTGGAGTCGGATGTGGATCTCCCTTCACGACCTGTACAGTTCCCTCAGGATCCACTTCATCGCTAATCCGCCCAAATACCTCCTGAAAATACACGAAAAATATCCTCACCGGGGATCGAACCTCCGTATATCACATCATCCGGCACGCATAACAGCGAACACCAATCCGATATCTTCGCTTCGTCCTCTTCAGTGATAACATAAATATCTACATTTTCTACACTTCTACTCCAAGAAGTGGTGTGTATCCCAACTCTGATCCCAACTTCAATAAAACCACAGCCAGGTCATGATGATGTCCTTTTTCTACCGCCGTTTGCAATGGAGTAAACCCATTTCTCGGATGAGATGAATCCAACTCCGCTCCGCTTTCAATTGCCATGTTACACGCTTCAATATCGTTCTTCCTAATAATAACAAAAACAAAAAACAACTTCGCTCCGCTAGATATTTTCCCCAACTCAGCCGCTGAATGTAGATCCATGGCCTTCTATAAAGCATTCTCACAATTTCCATATTCTCACCGACCCATGTAGTTGACCACCACCACCACCACCATGTACATTGTCTACCACGTCTGCACGCATGCACATACCAGTATAATTATGGTTTCCTCAGTTGCCGAATCGATCAATGTAGGATCCACACCGCTCTTCAGTAGGGCCTTCATCGCTTCGCCAATCGAAGAATTATGATCAACAACAGACGGCGTACGAAGGGACAACGACGAGGCCGCCATCATCATCATAGACTAAAGAAGATGACACACCCCGGGATCGAACCAGGGACCTCCCTATACACAAAACTCACACCTTCTTTTCTCAGCCAATGAATAACTCGAAAACGCTCGCCTACTACTACCACCACCCAGCCAATTGCATATCTCCCACACTTGAATATTACTTTCTATTCAAACTAGCTCCACGAGATATTGTTGTTGTTGTCCCGACATTATCATTACTCTGCCACCCCACAGAGAGCCTCGACGATGACCAATGTGATGATGATGATGATGAAGAGGAAGAGGAAGAGGTATCATCGTACAGCTCATCATATTTCGTTCCCTTACTAAAAACGAGTTAATTATTCACCACGCATGCACACATATAAGGATTTGGATCCAAGCCAACAATCTCAGACGTTTCTTACGTGGCCGCCATCGCGATCGCCAGAATATTCCTTATCTGCGTAACCGCCATCGATACTTCACTCAACTTCTCAGTAGGGGCTGCAAAATTAATACCATAATTCACCTAATTCCTCCTAACTTCAAATATACCCTCACCCGACCTTAAGACTGCCACACACAGTTTTCCATTCCACCCTCCTTACGTTCACGGCTATCGGCCCATGTCATCGGCTCTACAGTGAAGTCCACAACTGCTGATTGAACTCTTCCCTGATGAAGTCCTTGTGCTGCTGCTGGTGGTGTTGATGCCAACAACAAAGCGCTCGATCTCCCGGCATCCTTCCTACGTGGCAACTCTCTAGCAGGCTGATGAATAACTGACCGAAATTCATTATGACAAACCACTTGAAAGATCTAATACAGGTTAACATTCAATTACGAACCCGATCAGGTTCGATCCTTGGGTCCAATATTTATATAATCTATCTGGGGTATAGACACAATAGACGACATCTCTGAAATTTCCAGTAGGAAACACATTGTAGCACACATCGATCAAGAATCGAGCCTGGGTGCTTCGATGATGACCAAACAACATCCTTCCCTTATTACTCAATCCTTTCTCATCAAATTCTTAGGCCGTTGCATAATTGTTAGAGTCAGATCAGCATCATCCAATACCAAAGGATTCGCCCCACCCTCCAACAACAGGGATACAATTTCAAATCCTTCACAGCAGCCTCATGTAACCGAGTACCTCCATCAATCATTTACTCCAAATCGATCACGTGATCGATTTGGATCCCTACGATGATCCACTATACTAGACATATTAACAGCGATCTCTCTCCCCCAACGAACCGCCAACATCAACATCGTATCCCCAGTTTCGAGATCGTCGATTTAACTTGGTAATACCACACCATCCGTAACAAGCTCGATGAACGTCTGAATATCAAAAAAAAGAAGAAACAGAAATGCAACATATCAAATGACAAAAACACGAAAAAACCGACAAATTGAAAAATCATAAAATGAACTTGTTGTGAATGTAAAATGAATAAATTCGGGAAACAAAGAATTAGGGCAGCTGAAAATTGCAAACCCCTCAAAAAAAATTCAATAACCCCGATCCGCGCGGTATCAAGCCCACGAGCACCCCACTAAGAGCCCACCTCCTTTCGTTATACAATAGACTCCTTTCGTCCCAATATGAAATGTCACCGCCTCCGGACTCGTCAATATCGAAGATCAAATCTTTTCAACTTAGTCACCAACTCCGTAAATGATCCGGGGCAAACTCCCGTCTCCTCGTAATCTACCAAACTACAATACTTCATTTCCTAAGCTCAGGTACTCAGAAGCTACACCATATGAATTAACATATTAGTGGACGAAACCCAACTCAACAATTTCGTGTAGTTTACCATCTACTCAGAAACAGAAACTTTACGCGGCGCCGCGCACTACCGGGCCGGTGTGGCTCGGGAGAACTACATGAGAACCGACTCCATGCTCAACTACAACATGAGTCGGTGATGATATGAAAGTTATTAGTACCACAACTCCTATATAAACTCAGCTAAGGAAAGCGAACATATATTCCTCCAATACTATCTCCTGTAAATATCCAATAAAATGGTGTCGAGGAAATAAGATCCACGATAAACCACGTGCGAGTATAATAATACTACTACTACTACTACTACTACTACTACTACTACACAACTACACAGTAGTACTACTACACAGTATTTATAATTTCTTCCAATCTATAAACGTTCGCTTATTTTCACACACCTCAAAACGGTCACCTCTCACCAATTGTCGCGCGCCACGAAACTACATTGATGAGGAAGAGCAGCAGCTACTCAGCTGCTCCATTGGCCACCACGTTAGCCTCCCTTGATGCAGCAGCAGCAGCATAAGCGGCCTCCTCCTCCTCCTCCTCATTACTATGATAATGAGCAGCACTCGTACTCAGCATCGCCGGACAGTCATGTATACATAATGAATTCGGTAATAAACCAAAAGGAGGAGAAATATGAGAAGTCATAACAAAACCCCAAGTTTAATATTCGTCGATACACTCAACCGCATAATAACAAATTCATTCACAACACACATTTCACGAATAATTAATTCTAATAATACTACCACTACGGGTAAACCAATTTACTACCGTAATTCTACTACAAAAACAATTATCAGAAAACCATAACTACCATTTTCGTTTTCCGTGGAGTTACCGATACCCGTGATAATGATGTCATAGTCGGGTCTGAAAAACCATACCCAAATTGATCAACCGTTTCAATATATGAATAATACTACTTTCACTTTCCATAGCACCAGCATGAGTAATACTCATGCTGGTGCTATGGAAAGTGAAAGTACTCATTGAGTATAATATTCCACCACCCTCATCCTTGGTGAAGTCCTTATTCTCAATACCGCCACGTGGAGTATCTCAAAAATAGTGCATTATATGATTTGGGTAAAATACTCATCAATGTTGGAAATCATCATTCGAGTATGGGAATGCATATTTCCACCATCGTAAATCTGCTGGAGGTATTCAACATAAAAATGATAATCAAAGTGTAATATACAAGTATGAGCACTTTTACTATTTTTCTATACTTTTCTGAGTATCAATATTCGAGTCAGCTGATCACTGTACCAAAACAATGGAGTTTCACAACCCGTTTTACGTGTAACTCGGTGGAAAACGCAATAATCGCGGCGATATGCATCAGTAGTCGTGTAATATGTCTTTCACTATCGTTTTTCATATCACTAGGGTGAAATTCCAATGGAAGGCCTCAAATAAAAAAGTTCTCTGAGACAGAGTAAATCACTCAATTATAAAGTAAAATGGAGTATTTATATACCCTTGGATGATCCTCGATAGTTTATACTCTATCTCAGCCGAGCAAACAAATTTTTCCGGGAAATTCCCAAACAATTTCCTGCAGAGAAGAAAATTATGCATCCCGGCCATTATCAATTAACCTTACCATTTCTTCTCGATAACCTCCTCAACTGTCGGCGACTCGAAAATTCGTCCTCATCAATTACCTCAGACAGGACGACTATTACCTGAGACGCCATCTCAAAGGTCCCCGGTTCTATCCCCACAGACCCTACTCATCACTATCATATTTCATACTCTATTCAACTTAAGTACTGTTTCTTTCAATTAGACTGACCACCGGAAGGTCCCCGGTTCGAACCCCAGCAACGCCATTATTATTACTCCAATATGCCCTTCCAGATCCTCTCCCTTGCTCAGCTGGGTGCAGTAAACTACTACCCCGTGGTAACCTCCCTCGCACAGCCGATAAACCCATAACCATTTGCATTTGCCGAATACTGCTCATCTATAGAGGCCAAAGGCTTATTCTTCTTCTTCTTACCTACCTGACTAGCTTGCACTGCTTGCTCTGCCTCTATTTTACGCATGAACGTAATAAGATCATCACGTAACTGAATATCAAACAATTGTCCACCACAACTCACGGCATTATTTACGTAAAAAGCGAAAAACAACATGAAAATATTTTCCACGGCACTTCAATCCACTATACCACAAAATACGACCAATTAAAGGTATTAAAAAGCGGAGAACAACAACATGGAAATTCTGTGAAAACAAGTGGAACGAAAAAAACAATCAAATGGTGAAGAGTAAGAAAATACTAACAAGAAAAGGAAAAATACACAAATTCGAAATAGTGTGTAAAGACAATTATCCTGCTACCATAACTTTCATACCAAATAAAACAAGACAACACCTACACCACTCGAACAGCCAACAATAATAACAACCATTCACATTATTTCATGGCGCGCGACATTTTCCCCCACACTTACCACTAGTGCTTCCATCTCAATTTTCTTATCCTCATCCTCCTCCTCCTCCTCCTCAACTGCTGCTACTGCCGGATTTGCAGGGGTCTCCAAACGGGGGGGTCTTCAAAACGTTCATTACTTTCAACGACTACAACAACAAGGGTCGGCCACTCCCCCGGTTCCCCATAACGAGCCATGGACACATCCGTCATAGTGCTATCATGATCAGCAGAGTTAATACGACGAGTTGAATCTGCATCTGCTTCGCTCCGCTCAAAAACGATGTCATTTTCCTTCGATTTCGACTTCTTCGACTTGAAAGCTGCCATTGGCTTATGCCAATGACTTTTCTTCTCCTTTTTTCTTTCCTCTTCAGCGCCTAGAGGAAAATAAATTTATTTTCATTCTAATTTTTCGGAAAAGGAGTGGTACCAAGGAGAGGAGACAATATTTTCCTATATTCACCCCGTACCACTCCTTCGCCAATTCAGCCTTCTTACAACATTGAGTAGCATTATCCCACTCGGACTTGAAGTCAATTATGGTGGTGCTCCTGCCCACGCCTCGAATATGCCTCCACAGGATATTGTTGAATTCGTAAAGTAGTCTCAGTATGTGCAGCAATATGCTAAAATTAAAACAGAAACCTCCAAAATCCTAGCGGAGCGAAGCCACACCTTGCACCCTTTTTACCTTGTACCTGTTCCCAGGAGCCCAATTTCCACTATCAAACCACTCGTTCCTTATGATAGGAGGCTATAGGAGACCGCCCGTTTTCCTCCAGAATACTTCTCAGATTTCTCACATTTTTTTCTTTTTTCAGAGTCACCTCACTCGCGGGATCCGTCTTACTACTGGCACTTCCACGTTGGGGCCTCGTGGGATGATGATCATCATCCCGTCAACAGCCATATGTAGCAACCAGCCTTGCAGACCCCTCTGTGAGGGATTGTGGGCGAGAGCTGTTTGAGGAAAAAGAGATCGTGGGTTTCTCAACCAGCTGTGTGTGTGATCAGTTCGGGTTGGACACAGATTCACACAGTGTCATTGATTTTTTATTGCATGGGCGAGACAATTACTGTCATGTTGTATAACAATTGACATCCATCTAGTTCAAACACCATAACATCACGGTTTGCCTTTTACTCTAATAACAGCATGCTCAACGAACTGAAAGACACAGAATCCCCTCAATGCACACTCCAATATCCAGTGGAATCGAGGTTACTATCATGCTGTGTAACAGCTGATCAACCGCGAACATGCAAAGTAACATTGATGATACAATCGTAATCGAATCGTTTCTAGGAGCTCATTGCGCGGGAGGCCGAACAACACTACATAAAAACATTTCTGTCGAGCCAAGATGAGGTTGTCAGCTGTTACGCAGCATGATAGTGGCCTCGATATTGTCAAGTATTATAGTAACATCAGTACCTAGGGATAGATGACTCGTATGAGGTTGTCAGCGGTTATGCAACATGATAGTGCCCTCGATATTGTTAAGTATTGTAGTAACATCAGTACCTAGGGATAGATGACTCGTATGAGGTTGTCAGCTGTTATGCAACATGATAGTGGCCTCGATATTGTCAAGTATTATAGTAACATCAGTACCTAGGGATAGATGACTCGTATGAGGTTGTCAGCTGTTATGCAACATGATAGTGGCCTCGATATTGTTAAGTATCATAGTAACATCAGTACCTAGAGATAGATGACTCGTATGAGGTTGTCAGCTGTTATGACATGATAGTGGTCTCGATATTGTTAAGTATTATAGTAACATCAGTACCTAGGGATAGATGACTCGTATGAGGTTGTCAGCTGTTATGCAACATGATAGTCGCCTCGATATTGTTAAGTATTGTAGTAACATCAGTACCTAGGGATAGATGACTCGTATGAGGTTGTCAGCTGTTATGCAACATGATAGTCGCCTCGATATTGTTAAGTATTGTAGTAACATCAGTACCTAGGGATAGATGACTCGTGTTAGTTAGAAAGGAGCCGGACATGGCTAATGTTAGGTATAATCGTATTACCACACGCGTATATTCACGGTCCCGTCCACTCAAGCACCGAGCTCATCATCCCACTTCATATACCTAAGATACGACACAAATTGGGCCTATTCCGTATCTTCCACTCTCAACCTCAAGATACCACCTTTAGCCAGCCCAGTGAAGGAGCCTCCAGCACCCTTCTCCTTAACACCAACTATCGGGGCCGCAACAAGCGTCGTCGCACCTGCGAGGATTCCTCCTCCAGCAGCTTTTAAACACGAACCCACACCTAAACCCGCACATGTTCAATCCCCGGCACTACCATTAACGGCATTTTTCAGTGTCGTCGAATTCATGAGATAACCATCATTTGCCGAATACTGCTCATCTATAGAGGCCAAAACGATCTTCTTAGGAGTCGTAACGAATCGTTACGACTCCTGACACGACATATTTTTTTGCGACATACCCCATATCGCGACATACCCCATATCGCGACATACCCTTCACGCCATATTTTGTTTTGAAAAAAAAAATCAACTTGAAGCAAATGATCAATAAATACCGTTCCGTTGAGCGAGCATTAAATTCCAAGGAGGCGCTATCGCTGCACGAACAGTAGGAGGTGACAAACATACCGGTACACCGCTAATACGAGACAACCAGAATCTATAGTGGCAACCATTTGGTCAGAACAACAGTTTGTAAGCATCCTACCTGCCACTCTCAAACCCCCGCCGCTTACATTCTCTGTATAGTCCAATTTGAGGTCAGTAAGAAACGAATCGACGCTTCACTATACACCCTCGTCGCCACCTGTTACTATCATGCTGCTCAACAACTGACAGTCAAGTGATACGAACCATCCGGAAGTAAACTAAGAAAGACGTTTCACTACTCATATATGCAACGATCGGTAGAATCAACATTCCTTACAAAACTACTACTATGATGAATCACCATTATACATGGCGATGATTCATGGTTGATGACTCTGGTGGGGCATCGACTCCTCCCATTTGAGAGTTCAAGTGGATGGCAGTAGACTGCACGCATCGAGGTGGAGGTCTTGGCGGAGGTGGTGAGGGTCTTCCGAGTCTACCTCCATATGGGAATGAACACTCCCTCGCATACTACTAAATAAATTGACGATAAATCATATCCTTTAAGTGCATCCATTATATAGCTCGTAAATATCTTCACTCGGAATTGTTTATAGGTAACAGCGGCAGCAGCACCAGTGGTAACACCATGATGAGGATGACCATTGTTATCATGTATCCTTAGACGAAAGGTATAGTCGAATAATACCTAAGATGATGATGAATTGGGTATGATGATAATATTGATAGAGTAAGTGCCATTGGTAGTAGTAATTATGGTGCTATCATTTATATTACTACTTCAACCCTATAGCCAGCTCCAGCATTACTAAGTAGATCCGTCTTATGAAGGGCAGTTCGGGCGAACCTAACAAGAATCACGAAAAATGAGAATAGGATGGTGGCTGTAGTTGTGTGTGCAAATAATGTTAGTACCAGTAATATCATTATTAGTTATTGATAATATCACCACGCTTGTGTCACCAACCTAATGTCACCAACCTAGTGTCACCAACCTAGTGTCACCAACCTAGTACTACTACTACTATCACCACCACCACCACCACCACCACCACTACTACTACTACAACAACAACAACAACAACAACAACAACAACAACAACTACTACTACTACTACTACTACTACTACTACTACTACTAATACTACTACTAATACTACTACTACTAATACTACTACTACTACTACTACTACTACTACTAATACTAATACTAATACTACTACTACTACTACTACTACTACTACTACTACTACTACTACTACTACTACTACTAATACTAATACTAATACTATTTGCACACTGATTTGCAAAGTCACACGCCATTAAACTTAGCGCTCGCCCAGATAAGCACACGAACTTTGAATCGTTCTCCGCAGAGCTTCAAAGTTTGGTGAAGTGCAACCAATTTGGTTATCGTGCCTAATGCTACGTTGAATAACCCCAACAAGTTGTGGGCTATAGTATTAAGGACATTGGGTGAATTGATCCACGTTTGCAAATGATATGGTACGAATATCTTTGATGCGGTCGGGACCGTGGCTATCGACTGATGTGGAATTGCCTGAGTGACACGTTCTAGGCGATTTGAGACGCGCCTGAGAGAAGCTCTAGACTCATACTCCAACACCGTATATGAGAAAACGAACGTTGTACTCAACACTGTACTGATAGCCCTCAAGATCCGCTCGTGTAACGATGTACAATCGACAATACGAGAATAAATGAACGAAGGATCATGTACACTGATTTGCAAAGTCACACACCATTAAACTTAGCGCCCGCCTAGATATGCACACGTGTACTTTGATTCTTTTTTGTGTGCTTATCTGGGTGGGCGCTAAGTTCCAAGCTAGTGGTCCCGTGACTAGCAGTTCTCCTGTTTCAACTAGAGACTAGCACTACTGTCTCAGCTGGTGGGCTTGTGACCGCCTTTACTAATCATCGCCCTGATGACGTAGTTGTTATCCTCTTGCGATGATGATGATGATGATGACGATTCAACCTTTTTATTGAATCTGGAGCAACATTCATACCTCTCATCTTATGCAATGGATTTAGATACTGTACTTAAGATAATGAAAGAGGGATTTCGATTTGGTGTAGTGGTAGGATGTATCGTTGTCACTCGTGAGGTCGGAAGATCGAATCCCGCTCGGAGCTTTTTTCAATATAAGTAGTAGACGTGGTATCTGGAAAAGCCATTAACGAGGACTCTACTATGGGAGGTCAGCATCACGAATATATAGTAACCTCAATGCGAAGGCTACAGGGAAGTTCCCTGGGGGGAACTGTAGTAAAATGAGAATAGTGAGGGATATGTTCATGCTCACTACTTACAGAGAGGATCCCATACTGCTACTGGTATCAATGAGGACCGTATCCGAGGAGGTCAGTACCAGGAAAACCGACTATCTCAAATAGTGGTCGTAAGATTAGTAGTACAACTGTTTCAACTGGAAGCTGTTTCAACCTGGTCCCGTGACTATCAGTTGATGAAATACAAGACAAACAGCACGTAACGGAAGAGTTGAGTTTCTCACGTAGCTAGTTACTGCGTTTGACGAAATCCAGTAATGCTCCTTAGCCACAGCTCAGCCAGTTATTACCGGTAGTGAGTATGATCCATGAAACTCCAGCACGCGAGCGGCCTTCTTGACAAGTGGAGGGGAAAGGTTCAGTATCTTACCGAGACAACTACTGAATTCAACAAGGTATAGAACCACTCCTTAACGTAGCCACAGCTCAGGCTGTTACTATTCTTGCATAGCACAAGCAATATTACGCGTGTATAGTACTGGGTATGATCCGCGAGACTCCAGCACGCGAATGGCCTTCTAGACAAGTCGAGGGGGAAAGTTCAGTATCTCACCGAGATAATTACTGAATTCGACTAGGTATACAAACGCTCCTTAACATAGCCACAGCTCAGGCTGTTACTCTCCTTACATAGCAATGAGTATGATTCGTGAGACTCGGGCATGCGAACGGCCTTCTTGACAAGTCGAAGGGAAATGTTCAATATCCCACCGAGATAATTACTGAGTTCGACTAGGTGTAGGAGCACTCCTTAACGTAGCCACAGCTCAGGCTGCTGTTATTCTTACAGAGCTTGAGCAGTTATTACTGCTACGTAGTAATGAGTATGATCCATGAGACTCCAGCACGCGAACGGCCTTCTTGACAAGTCGAAGGGAAATGTTCAATATCCCACCGAGATAATTACTGAGTTCGACTAGGTGTAGGAGCACTCCTTAACGTAGCCACAGCTCAGGCTGCTGTTATTCTTACAGAGCTTGAGCAGTTATTACTGGTACGTAGTAATGAGTATGATCCATGAGACTCCAGCACGCGAACGGCCTTCTTGACAAGTCGAAGGGAAATGTTCAGTATCTCACCGAGATAATTACTGAATTCGACTAGGTATACGAACACTCCTTAACGTAGCCACAGCTCAGGCTGTTACTCTCCTTACATAGTAATGAGTATGATTCGTGAGACTCGGGCATGCGAATGGCCTTCTAGACAAGTCGAGGGGAAAGGTTCAGTATCCCACCGAGATAATTACTGAGTTCGACTAGGTGTAGGAGCACTCCTTAACGTAGCCACAGCTCAGGCTGATACTACTCTTTAATGGTGACGAGTATGACCCGTGAGACTCAGGCACGCGAATGGCCTTCTAGACAAGTCGAGGGGGAAAGCTCCGTATCTCACCGAGATAATTACTGAATTCGACTAGGTGTAGGAGCACTCCTTAACGTAGTCACAGCTCAGGCTGCTGTTATTCTTACAGAGCTTGAGCAGTTATTACTGCTACATAGTAATGAGTATGATCCATGAGACTCCAGCACGCGAACGGCCTTCTTGACAAGTCGAAGGGAAATGTTCAATATCCCACCGAGATAATTACTGAGTTCGACTAGGTGTAGGAGCACTCCTTAACGTAGCCACAGCTCAGGCTGCTATTACTCTTACAGAGCTTGAGCAGTTATCACTGGTACGTAGTAATGAGTATGTTCCATGAGCCTCCAGCACGCGAACGGCCTTCTTGACAAGTCGAAGGGAAATGTTCAGTATCTCACCGAGATAATTACTGAATTCGACTAGGTATACGAACACTCCTCAACGTAGCCACAGCTCAGGCTGTTACTACTCTTTAATAGTGAGGAGTATGATCCGTGAGACTCAGGAACGCGAATGGCCTTCTAGACAAGTCGAGGGGGAAAGCTCCGTATCTCACCGAGATAATTACTGAATTCGACTAGGTGTAAGACCACTTCTTAACATAGCCACAGCTCAGGCTGCTATTACTCTTACATAACTCAGGCTGTTACTACTCTTACATAGTAATGAGTACGATCCGTGAGACTCCAGCACGCGAACGGCCTTCTTGACAAGTCGAAGGGAAATGTTCAGTATCTCACCGAGATAATTACTGAATTCGACTAGGTATACGAACACTCCTTAACGTAGCCACAGCTCAGGCTGTTACTCTCCTTACATAGTAATGAGTATGATTCGTGAGACTCGGGCATGCGAATGGCCTTCTAGACAAGTCGAGGGGAAAGGTTCAGTATCCCACCGTTCGACTAGGTGTAGGAGCACTCCTTAACGTAGCCACAGCTCAGGCTGCTGTTATTCTTACAGAGCTTGAGCAGTTATCACTGGTACGTAGTAATGAGTATGATCCATGAGACTCCAGCACGCGAACGGCCTTCTTGACAAGTCGAAGGGAA